TCGTTTCGGGGGAATGTAAACTTCTATTTTCAAAAGTTGTGAGAGATGTATGGTTTCATGAAGAAATTTCAATTGAACATAACTCAATGACTAATTATGACATCAGCATGGAAACTCATACAGTAACTTTGTAAGCTGTCATAAACATACCAGCCGAATTTGAAAGAAATCCAAACAGTTTTAGACGAGTAACGGAAACCGACACGTTTTAAGCTCGCGCAAAGCGGGGTCGCCTTCAGACGGCTATGTTTCGCAGAGACCTCACAAAAGAACATCACCGCACTCCAAGTAATGCAGAACAAGGCAGGGAGACTTGCACTGAGAACTCACCGGACATCGGTGAAGCATATGCACAGTGTGCTATCATGGCTGACAGTTGGTGACAGACTCTATGTTAACAACATGTGTACCTTCCACAAGTTGCTTTTCTATAAGCAACCAACAACACTTTACAGTAAACTGCAGCTTGTATCTAACCAGCACGGTTACAGTACGAGATCTGCAGCAAGGAATAATTTTAAGCTGCCAAAGCCAAAAACATCGGCAGCTACTAAATCTTTCCTCTACAGATGCTCAAAACTGTATAACACACTTCCATGTCATATCAGAAAATCAATACCTACCAGTTTTAAAACTCTTATCAAAGACAGACTGAAACAAGCTATACAGAATTGATAGTAAACTAAGATTGAATATTAATTGTATATATACTGTGTATGATGATGTAAATATGATGATGTATATATGTATGTGTTTTGATGTTTTGTAACGTTTATGTGTATACTCTCTCCTGGAAGAGTAGCTGTCACCCTCGGGTGGGCAGCTAAAGGAGAGTTTTAAACCAATAAACCAATAAACCAATAAGTCGATTTTGACCGCATCACGCAAAATTGCGTTTTCCTTTCTAGACCATGGCCAAGAAGGAAATAATATTTTTGGATGAAACTTGGACAACAATATCCTGACATACGTATCTATCTCTGCTGTAAACAGATTGGCTCTGTCTTGAAT